TCCTGCTAAGGGAATCAAGTGGAACAATATCTAGAAATGGGGATATTCTCAAGTATTAGATGAATGGGAAATTCTACTTGTTTCTAGCAAAGGTACTGAGATGGGAAAGAATATTGTTCAAGCAGTAAGCAGTGAAGATTCCACAGTGTTGGGCATAGAACTGCCACACACATGTACACATATGGAATGACACCATGTAGGACTTACAGTCTCAACACTTGGCATCTAAACTTAACTGGGTGTTCCACTTTTTGGTAGTAAAAAAGCTCCACACTGGAATATAACCATCAGAGACACTTAGAAAGTGAATATGGTCCCCAACACAACACCCTTTTAATTTATTACAGACCTCGAGGTAGATGAAAAAATATGCTTATTGATAACTTTTTCACATTAATTTTGTTTTGTACAACCCTTTGCCTTATGAAGAAAAGGTTGCATTTAATTTTAAATCTTGTTCTCAGGTAATGTTTGGTAGTAGCTGGAATCTCAAAAGGCATTTGCATTTATTTTATTGCCTTTTATTCATAAATATTTTTGTGTGTATTTTCTTCAGTATGAATGGGGTTCCTTTTTAGCTTCACATTTCATTATAGTTAAAAATGTTTTAAAAGCCACACAAGGTGGTGCACATGGGTATGCATTTCTCCTGCTCTGCTTCCCATTCCTTCTGTGGAGTGTGGAAGTTGGAGTGAGAATTTGGCAGCCAGTTCAGATGCTGACACAGAAGCTGTGTGTCGAGAATGGCAAAGCAGCCCTACCAGCCCTGAAACACCCGCCTCTAATTTAAGAGAGGAATAAACTTGTGTTTAAGCCACTGTATTTTGGGTCTCCTTATTAAAGCAACTTAGACTGTACTAAAACTAATAGAGGAATAGATGAGCTTATGAACACAAAAGGGTTAGACTTGGTGAGGAGAGGGAATTGGATGGAAGCCTTAGGTAAAATTGCCCATTTTGCCCAAAGGGCCTCAAGAAGGAAGATATGTACAATGCTAAAGAAAGATTCTTCCTTCAGCAAAAGTCATTGAACCTAATGAATTGACCATTTGACCTTGGACAAGCCACTTACACTTGTCTCTGTGTTTGAGCCTTAAATTGAAAAGATGGAAGAAGTTGACTTCTCAAGGATCGTGTCTAGCTCTGTCGTTCTTTATGTTGTTCTAGAAAAGAGTGATGAGAAAGCTTAAGATGCTAAGTATCTGAATTGATCCCTCAGAGATGATTAGTAGTATGTAGGGCAATAACAGGAACAGATATTATGGAGTGGGTCCAGTAGTGGAGTTCTGTTCAATCTCTGCTTGCAAACTGGTTAATTCTTAACGACTTGATCTCTTTTTGTTGAACCTTGCTAAAAGCAAGCAGTGGTAGCCAACACAAACATATTCTGGCCTTTTCTAAACCACTTCTCTCAGAGCTATAGGCCTGATAATCTGCCTTCCAGGTTAACACAGGTGACATTTTTCCCAATAAATTTGGGAAGAGTCATCAGTCTTCCAGCCTGCGATATGTTTCTACCTGCTAGCCAATGCCATATATGTCTTAGATCTTTGTTATTGTAGCACAATAACAAAGTTGGTTAAGTTGGTTCACTTTCAGGAACCAACTTTCTCTTTTAGGGCAAACACTAAGGTGCTGTAACAAAGGGACCAAAAAATACATTAGATAAAGCAAGATAAACATTTTTTTCTCACGTAACAGTCCAGAGGTATGCTCCGCTTCAGAAGGTAATTCAGGGCCCAGGTTCCTTCTATGTTATGCTCTACAATCGCTTATTTGTTGTCCTTGTTTTCACAGTTGAAGATGGCTTATCACCATCACAACTAAGCACTAGCTTATGTGAAAGGAGAAAGGAGAGAAGTAGAGGGCAAGCAGCTTCTCTTTAAGAATTTACCTAGCCTAATATCTTTGTGGTATAAAACTTGCCTAACTCTAATGTCTTTGTGGAACAAAAATAGTAAAAGATTTGCAGAAAAGTCACAATTGATAACATTGGAAAAATCTGACATTCTGTACAGTGAGCACTTAAACTCTACTTTATTAGATTTCATTATGGTAATTACTCATTTGGATAAGGCTTTACTTTTTCGGTCCTCTCTGATTCTAACATTTAATTTGGATTCTCAGGCATATTCCAAGGGGAAATCAGAGATATTGACATGTAGCATTTACCCTACAACATTGAGGCTTACACATTTTACTGATGCCCAGTATTAGTGTTCACAGTAACATTAATACACACACACACACACACACACACACACACACACACGAACCTATTAATGAAAACCGAATTTGTAATCCAGAGCTACTTAACATTTTTAAAGAGATACCTCCTGATAAAGACAGAGTTTGGTCTAAAAGATACTTTTGGTGTGTCTCAGGTCAATTTTCCTGTTCTACCTAAGCAAAGATACCAAATGACCTGCACCAAGAACCGTTTCATCCATTCTTTAGTCAGAGTTCTTTCATATATTCCCTTTGCTTCTGGATTCAAGGTTGGTCACATAAGATCAGGCTCCGAGGATCTGGCTGCTAGGAGACCAGACGCTAGGAGGGTGGGGACGCTGCACTGCGACAAGCCGGCAGTGAAAGCTAGAGGGAAAGGGGACAGCGCCCGCCCCGCAAGGCCGCAGTCCTCCGCTGCCGCCCGTCTCGTTCCCGCCCGCCCGGCAGGAGCTCCTCGCTCATTGGCTCCGCTGCTGTGGCGCTGGCCTGCGATTGGTCGGGCAGCCTCGGCCCGGCGCTCGCCCGCCCCTCGGCGCTGGTCCCCGGCCGCCGCCTGGGAGCGGGTGGGGTAGGCGTATGAGGGCGTCACGGTCCGGTTAGCGGGCTGGGTCGGGGTTGCTTCATGGCGGGAGCGCGGGCGGTGCCGGCCTCTACAGGTGACAGAGGCGCAGCAGGGGCCGCCGCGGCCCTGTGGAGGTGAGCTAGATGCCGAGGGGCTCGGGTGCCCGACGGGTAGCGGGAAGGGCGGCGACGGGCGGTACCGCTTGCAGCCAGCCTGTTCCCGCCGCGGCCCCTCACCCACGGCGGGGCGGGCTGGGCCGGGGTCCCGCTCGCCCAAACGCGCCCACGCACAGCCCGCAGCACCCCAGCAGCCCCCCGGCCCGTGTCCCGCAGCCCGCCGGCTCCACATGTCCGCAGCCCGTCCCGCCCGCGCACCAGATGGGGGAACGCCAGCCTCGCCGGCCCGGCCGCTCCCGGGTCCTCTGCCCCGCATCTGTCTCCGCCTCGTCCTCGCCCGGCGCCTTTGTCCGCCCCTCACCCGCTCCGCTCCCCGAGAGCTGCGTCTAAGCGGGAGGGAGGCCACGAAGGTCTTGGGATTCCCGGAGGACACGCCGCACAGTGAGCCTCTGAGCCCAAGGTTTGAAGGGCTTGGATGTACTCATCCTGGGTTTGGGATGTGATTTTTCTTTTCCTTCACCATCAAAGCCAACTGTGGCCAAGGGTCAGGAAGCCTGGGCACCAGGCTTCTCCCTGGTCCAGGATGACTCAGTGTTCCCGCCACCCTCAGTTATGCCAAAGGCCTTTGACCTGCCCTACTGGCCCCCCTCTCTTCCCATCTTGCCAGTGCCTAGGAAAAAAGTCTCTTGTCTACAATAGCCTTTTTCTCCTTGGTGACAAAAAGACATCAGATGCCTGTCTGGACTTCTATCTGGTGTGGGAGTGACTTAGGTTAGTCTTATTAATACATACACATAAACAAAGATAAGGGAATGGGGGAAGGGATTTGCCTCCCAAATTGTGTGGTGTGTTCTTAAAAAATGTAGTCTATTAAACAAATTGAATTTTTATTTTTGGTAAATAACATTTTACCTTAAGCAAATTTAAAATTTTGATATTTTTTCATGAATGGGAATGGATTTAGTAGTAAGGTAATTTGAACTTTGAACTTTTCTTATTGGCACAATTTTTGATAATTTTATACGTTTTTTCCAGATGAGGTATACTGTGGCAACTATTTCAAGAGAATTTATGTTTTATTAAGGATTATCCATCAATGCTATGCCTTTTATACTTACATTCAGACTCCATAAAATAATGTCTTGAACATTCATTTAACTGGAATTAATGCTAGGCAGTCTAACCTTGCTGAGTATGATTCAGTTGTGTGAAGGGAAGGTTGAATTTTTCAACAGAAAATTTTTTTTACATTTAGATAATTTAAAGTTTGCTGTGTGGTTTTTGTTTTGTTTTGTTTTGTTTTAGAGACAAAGTCTTGCTCTGTTGCCCAGACTAGAGTGCAGTAGTGCAGTGGCATCATCACAGCTCACTGTAATCTCAGACTCCTGGGCTCAAGCGATCCTCCTGCCTCACCCTCCTGAATAGCTGGGACTACACCACCATGCTGGGTTAATTTTTAAAAATTTTTTGTAGAATTGAGGTCTCACTATGTTGCTCAGGCTGGTCTCCAACTGCTGGCCTCAAGGGATCCTCCCACCAAAGTGCTGGCATTATAGGCATGAGCCACCATGCCCTTAAAGTATTTTTGAGCTTGTCTAGCATAAATATGTATCATATTTGAAATATACATATAAATTTTTAAGTGTTTGACATGGACAATGTTCTTGAACTTTTAAATGAATCTTTTTGGAAGTGAAGAAAAAATAGTACCCACAGTACTTGCTCTGAATTCCATTGTAGATTGTTTTCTACCGTGGCCCAAACAAATTATAATAAGACATCCTATGCGTTAACATGCCTCCCAAATTGTGTGATATGAAAGTGATACATGTACTAGGCAAACAAGCAGAGAACAAATGCCTTGTTCATTAGTGAGAAACTAGGTCTTTCAAGAATTTTGTAAATTCCCAAAACTAGATTGATTAATCCAGCAAGACAATGTAGATACTTAAATATTTAAATAAGTTATGGTAATGTTGTGTGTGGAAACTAAATGAATGAATGAATGAATGAGTTGTGGATCCTCAGTTTGGAGTGGGTTTCAAAAGTTACATTAAATCTGTGTTAAGGTTTTGTGACTTTCTCATTAATTAAGCAAACATTTTTGGCACTATCTGCCTTGCTGGTAACTCTTCTGGGGAATCAAAAATAGAAGGCCCAGCGCATCAGAGAAACCGTATCCAGTGAGTTAAAAAGAAAAATGAATAGAAATTTCTCAAAGCCCTTCCAAGCCTGCTTTCCCAAGTTTTTCCCAATCATTCTAAGACCTTTTCCAAGACTGCTTTCCCAAGGTTTTCATCAAACTCAGCTGGAGATATGAGAAATGGCATTACTTTTGGATTCATTCAATTTTTTCACCAGACTTTGAGATGATCAACTCTTTAAAAAAGAATGAAGTTCTGTAAAATCTATTTTCTAACAGGTACAAGGCAGTGCTTTACAATTATTAAATTAATTTTTGAAAATTTTTTGTGCCAATAATGGCCCAAGTAGGGAGGAGAAAAATAATAGTAGTAATAAATTATTTATTGAGCACCTTTTGCTGAGTGCTTTATATATAGTATTATTTAATCATCACCGTAACCTCAAAAGTAGGTATAATTTTCCGGATATTATAGCTGAGATAATTGAGGCCTTAGGTTGTACTGCTAGAAGTGGTAAAGCTGGATAAGAATCTATAGCTGCCTCTTTCTACTCATTTTATGAATCTGTTTAATCCAGGGATCTCTGGAGTGGTAGTGCTACTACTACAAGCATTGTATAGTCCTCATTCTGTGCCAGGTAACACTTTTCATATATCCTCAAAAGTATGTGAGTTCCAGCCTGAGCAAGAGTGAGACCTGTCTCTACAAAAAATAGAAAAAATTAACTGGACATGGTGATGTGCGCCTGTCGTCCCAGCTACTTGGGAGGCTGAGGCAGGAGAATCGGTTGAGCCCAGGAGCTTGAGCTATGATGACACCACTGTACTCAAGCTAGGGCAGCAGAGCAAGACTCTGTCTCAAAAAAAAAAAAGTCTGTGAGCTAACTACTATTATTTTTGTTTTACAGATGAGGAAATTGAGACACAGAGATTAACTAATCTGAATTAGTTAATACCTTAAGTGGTAGAAACGGTTACAAATTTGCAGTCTGGCTCCAGAGTCTACACTCTTAACCATTACACCATACTGGCCCTTCAACAAGGTACATCCCTGGTTGGTAGGAAGCTACAATTTTAGAGTGCTTAATGTTTTTCTTTTTTAATTTGTTTTTAATGTTCATGGAAACGCATGTAGGATACCTTCATGATGTTTACCACCTGACATCCTATACCAGCTTCTTATGTAAACAATTACATAGTATTAATCACAGTTAACATTTATTGAGTACTTACTACATTCCAACCCCTGTGCTGTGTTTTAAATATCTCACATAATCCTAAACACAATCCTAGCAAGTAGATACTGTTATTTTATGCTGCATCTCATTTGTGAGATCTTTCATTGTGTTCAAAGTGCTTTCACAAAATAATCCCTTTGATTCTCTCTACAGTGTCAGTCAGAAGTATTACCATCACCAAATTTTATTGCTGCAGTTCAGCAAGGATAGATGACTTACCTTGACTGGCATGTGATAGAGCTCAAACTCAAACCAGAGCTCCAGACTCCCATGTACACTGCTTTTTCCATTGTACTGGTCTGTCAGTGGATCTTTGCTTTGTACTTCTTGTCCTAAAATAGACCACATTTTTCAACAGGAACAGCTTATATTTGGAGATCGTGTTCCCAACCTAGAATTAGCGTTAGTCGAATCATAGATCTGACTAGCCATAAACCTCTGTCATTATTTTCATCTGTAAATTTATCTTCCAACTTTAGATACGGTGCCTGGCACATAGTGCTAGGGGGCTCAGTAAATGTTTGAATAAAATAAGAAGTGTCTCATATACATTGATATAAAAAGGTTCCTAAAATGGAATGGGTAGTTTCTTTTTCTCTTTGATACCGCAATCTTCCCCGTGCCACCACCTCTCAAACAGGAGCTTTCAAAATTGTTTCATTGACTCTTAACTAAATTCAAAATGTATTAGGTTCTGTCCCTCCCCACCCTCAGCCATTACTCCCAATCCATTGTCTCCGTCATGCTATTCCTACATACATCTTGCATAGAACAGAAAGAGCATGGATTTAAGAGTCAGTTTTACCTGGGTTTGAATCCTAGCTCTGTCTCTTTATTAGCTAAATAAGTACAAATTACTTAATTTCTCTGGACCTGTTCCCTCATTTTGTAAAATTGGCGAGAGCACCTATTGTATAGGGGCAAGGTAAGAATTTATTGAAATAACATATAAAAGACTTAGCACAATTCTAGGCTCCTAGAAGATACTCAGTAAATCACAGCCATTATGTGTCACTCCTCTGCCCCTCCATGGCTCCCCTCTGCTGTGGCTCTTGGCCAAAATGATATTAATATGATATTAACAATTGTCTGTTTGTCTGCCAGTGTTCTTCACCAGGCTACTTGAGGACAGGTCATAATAGGGATTTTTGTATCCCTAATGTGTGGCATGTAGTTGGGGCTCACTAAATATTTGTTGAACCACATTCAGTTTGGAAAGCCATCCGGAGCCTTTTTTCTTGGTAATCCTATTGTCTGAAAGTCTTGCACACCCTTGACTAAGATGAAGGTCACTGGATATTGTTATTCAGGGTCTCCTGGATTGAACTAGAGGTTGTGATGGGAGGAGAGATGGGTGGGGAGCCAGGTGAAGAAGCTTGGGAAGCCTCCACTCTGCAGGAATGTGTGTGTGTGTGTGTAAGTAGTAAACCTTATTAGGCCAGTTGTCACATTACTTCTTTTTTTTTTTTTTTTTTT